ATATATCACACTGGAGATGGCTAAATCAATTGCTTCCAAGTGTTGGTACTCAATCAAGCTGTGTTATCCAAGTGCTTAGTTTAAAAATAAATACTGAACCAACCTCCAGATATGGGCTTAATCTTTGTAGGTGAGACTGGGGGAACTGGTATTTAACATGGGCCCTGGTGAATCCCTGAGCATAGCCAAATTTTCTTCCTGCTCTTAAGCAGTGGAGATTTCTGAGGCCCCTGGCTAACCCAGAGCTTCTGTTGTTATTGATTATACTATTAAGAGGTGAATATGTACACCATGTGATTCGCTCCAGCTTTGATTTTGCCAACTATTTGGGTTTCAAAGTCTCCCTATTAAGGAACTAAATTTAGTTACATAAATTATAGCTTAAAATACACGTGTGAAATGTTAGAAGATTTGGAACTTGCTAATGAAGATGTTAATTCCCCCAAATTAGAAATTCTAGACAAAATCTTCAAACATGTAGAACAGGAATTCATAGAAAAAACAGACTCTCAATCCGGTAGGAATAGGACCATACCTATGTATTTCCTAGTACCTTGTCCAGTGTGCTCACAGACATGTTGTCTGACATACTCATGTTGAATGCATTAATAAACTACTTAATTTAAAAGGCTGCTGTCACATCCACTTTCTCTGGATAACAAATGAAGAGAAAACTGTGACTATGTAAAGGGCAAAATGAACTTACAGTTACATGGTAAAACAAGTGTTGAACTAACAATAAATAAAAATTATTTTATATGATCACATTTACCACATTAAAAGCACATACCTTTGAAAAACCTCATATTTATTCAACTTCTGGATTGATTTATATCCAGTGTCATTTTACAAAAGGTTTGTGGCAGGTATAAAAACTATCCAATGTAATGGTACAATGAGATGTCACCTATTCTTTAGCCTCTGGCCAGAAGGTCAAGATGTCATTTTAAGACATTACAATCTCACTTAGCCTTTGGCAGCAGTTGTCTGTCTGATTTCCTTACAAAAGAGGAAAGACCAATAAATTATTTCTTTCTAACAAAAATAGGTTCAAATTCTTATGAAATGTTATGTTTCAACTTGTTTGGATCTGGCAGGTTTAAAATTTTGTTTCTTGTTTATGAAGACAAAAAAGTACTACATAAAATGTCTGAAATACTGCAAGACTTTTAAGAGAAAAAGAGAAATAGACATTAAAAGAGGGCCCCCAAGTACTTGACCTTTTATCTTTACTGAAAGGATCATGTAGATTCACTTAATCTTTATGGTTCATAGAAGCACAAGAATGTATGATGACAAATATAAACACTTTTATCAGTGAGAAGCAGAAAGAAACATGAAGAATAGGCACAGGCTTCTTTCAAGTGAAAGGTGAAGTAACATTTCATATCCTCACACAGCACTTTCTAAGAAAAAGAATTGAAGTAAATACTAATATTAAGATTTACAAGATCTGCTTCAGAAATTTTAAAACTCTAAAATACAAATGACAAAGGTGTCTCAAAGACAGATAAAACATAAAGGAAGTAATAATGATGTCAATAGTCATTGTGATGGCTTCCTAGAGACTAGAGACTATTGTAGAAATGAATGAAAATAGTCTATGAATGTCAGAACTATTTTTTTACATTCTTTTAAAATAGAAACTGAGATATCAAAACTGTTTTGATACTGTCAAAGTTTTCTATCTAGAAGTGTCTTTGGAATTAAACTAGTATTTCTCTGGTTTTGTCTTATACAATAACAGAAAACCAATGACCAGTCTTCATAGAATGAGGAATTGAAGTCGAAATACAGCATCAAACTGTAAAATTTTAAAGAAAATTAAATACTTTTATTACATCTTTTGATTTCCCTATCCTAATACTCCATTAAATAGATCAGAGCCACAGAAAAACCTTATGATCCCAAAATATAAATTGAAAAAATCCCATATTACCAAAATTGAACATGTTCCTTCAAGAAAAGTATTTTTTGAGAAACATTTTTTTTCATAATAATGATTCTGAATACTATAACCTAAGTCAAGATTTAGGACATTTCCATCACCCCAATTTTCTATATTCCTTTGCAGCTTTCCCCCAATCTTCTACACATGACATTCAGGGAACTATAATTTGCTTTCTGTCACTGTGTGTTAGATTTTTCCTGAAGATCTCACATAAATGAGATTATTCAATGTGTACTGTGTTCATCTGCTTTTATTTGCTACCCATAATATTTTAAAGTTATTCTGTTACTCATATTAGTAATCCATTCCTTTTTGTGCTGAGTAGTATTAAAATGTAATAAAAAATTTATGTGTTCTCTCACCTGTTGCATTGGGATTGTTTCCAATTTTAGGCTCTTATTTAAGATGTTTATAGATGCTCCTGTACACGTCTTAGTGTGAATCTCTCTCTTGGGCAAAGTCACTTATACTATTTTTAACTATATGCTCATTATTTCTAGTAGTTTAAAAAGTATATAATATATTGCTTCTCATGCAACTGTCATGATAGGATATGAAATAATGTTTCACAAGAGATATTAAATAAGGACTCACCTCACTTAGAACCTTGAATTTGGTGTTAGACCTTTTTCCTTTCTTAGAAAAAAATATCCCAAATATTTAAAGAACTTGAATGAATTGCATTTTATAATTTTCATTTTGTTAACTTTTCATTGTTAATATTTTCCTGTAAAATTTTAATATGCATGAAAACATACAGCTCATTCCATGACACACTTAGCAAATGTGCTAACCAGATAGTTCATAATCTGAGGAAGCTGAAAGAGGCAGGGTGCTCACATATAAATCAGAGGTGTAATGTCTGAGTTTCCATAAGACGAAGATATTTCACCACAGGAAAGGGTGACATTTTTGACAAATTCCCATTCCTTTCTAAGAACTTCCCCCTCATCAACTCCTATCTAGGAAGGAAAAATATACGCACACCTTGGTGGATTGTACATATTATGTTATGATCTATTTTATCTTTTTTGAACATTTCTAATCTATATCTTAGTGATAATATTATTTTATCACAACATAGGGTCAACTATATTTGTTTATTTTTGGTACAAGAGAACACACAAGATGCTAAATTTAGGAATTGTTCACATTTTGTTCTTCATCAATGTCTTAGGTTAAACTCTGTCTCTGTGGATGTCCTATTATTTCGTTAACTTCAAAAATATCGCTACTGGCTTCTCAAAACACTAGAAGAGAGGAAGAGGATAAAACTATAGTGATTGCTTACAGTTCAGTCAGCAGTATTTACTGAATAATTGGTATAAATGGAGCAATTACCACATAAGCAATTAAAATAGAACATAGTCTCTGTATTCCTCCTCTATCTTGCATCTTGAGGGCTCAAGTGATTGTAAAATGACAATGCATATGAAACTACACTAAATGTGCAAATTAATACAGCACTAGACCTTAACATGACTTTCATGATTTTTTATGATGGTCCTGATTTTCCTTTATCATATCTCAATTTTTATTTTTTATTTTTCATGAGGTACTGGCCATGGAACCCAAGAGTACTCTACCACTGAGCTATATCCCCATCCCTTTTTATTTTCAGAAAGGGGCTTGCTAAACTGACCAAAATGGACTCAAATTTGCAATCTTCCTGCCTCAGTCTCCTGACTCGCTGGGATTGTGTGTATGCACCACCACACCTGGCCTACCATATCTGTTTAAGGATCTTCTAGTCTACCTTCTGTCAATTTAAAATTATTTTTAAATTACCTTTGTGTGTTTGCACATAGTGTTCCCTCTGACTAGAACTTTTTTCCATCTGGCTAAACATTTTTTTTTCCTTTTTCAGTACTCTGTACAGACTTTATCTTATCTGTGAAAACTTATCTGAAGTCCTGAGTCTGGGTTAGGTGCCACTCCTATGTACTTGCATATCCCCATTCTATATTTTACTCTTTTATCACTACTCTTGACATCTTAACATTTCCTGCTAATGACAAGCTCTGTGAATGCAAGAACTATGCATTATCAATTTGTGTTTTAGTCCCAGAGTTAATTGCAAGGCTTGGCAAACAGTAGATACTTCATAATTATTTGTGAGAGAATTAATGAATGATTAATGTTGAACACCTAAGTTACTTGAGAAATGGAAAATAATAGGTGATTGCTTAGCTTAGGTGAATTAAAATAGGTTTCCTGAAATAGGTGGGCCTTGATCTTGATTTCTGGAGAAAATAAAATCTAATGATTGACAGGAAAGAAATTGTTGAACTAGATTATATAAAGATTGTGCAAAAAGTCGTATTACAGGAACTGGACAAAGATTAACTTGGTTAAAGGAGTAGACTAATGTAGGCTAAAGGAAAAAAAAGTAATGAGAAACAGTGTTGGAAAATTAAAGTAATTGGTAATCAAAACTAAGGAGACAGTAAAAACATCAGTGATTGCTAGAAATCTGGGGGAAGAAGGAATGAGTAGGCAGAGCACAGAGGATATTGAGGGGATTGGAACTAGTTCGTATGATACTGTTTGGAGGAATCAGGTCATTATACATTTGCCCAAATGCACAGAATATAAAAAAGTGTAAGGGTGAACCCTGATGTAAAATGTGGACTTTAGGTAATAATGTGTTCTTGGAAGCTCTTCAACTGCAACAAATGTACTGCACTGTGGAGGATGTTGAGAATGTGGGAGGCTATGCATGCGTACAGACAGGGGTTTATGAGATACTTTTGACTTTCTCATCTTTGCTGCTTAAATAGTCATTTAAAAAATCAGTGGTAATTGGTAAAACGCCTCAGGAGGCTGAGGCAGGAGGATCATGAGTTCAAAGCCAGCCTTAGCAAAAGTGAGGTGCTAAGCAACAGTGAGGTGCTAAGCAACTCAGTGAGATCCTGTCTCTAAATAAAATACAAAATGGGGTTGGGGATGTGGCTCAGTGGTTGAGTGACCCTGAGTTCAATCCCTGGTACCCCACCCCCCCAAAAAATTGTCAAGCATGTTTTTAAATGGATGGATACCAAGACAAAAATGATATTCAAAGAAGAGATACTGAAATTTAATAACGTGTATAAATGAAAATACTAATTATACAGATGTGCATCTGTAAACTGCAGGTCACAAAAAAAGGACTGGATGGTATGTACATTGTGTAAAGCAGGCAGCCGTTGAGTGCTCTTGAACATAGCTCACCTCCAGATGTAGGTGTATGAGGCACCTGGGAGCATCCTCAGGGTGCTAGTGAGAAGCCACAGCAGTACAGTATTAATTAAAATGGACAAAATGGGCTAGTAGTCTGGGGGAAAAAATCTGTCCATTCCATAAATCTGTTCCCATTCCTTTTTCTTAAGGCTTTAGGATTTGATTAAGTATTAAGAGCTGCAAAGAGAGAATTTGAGATTCTGATTAGACAATAACTAGGTTGTTAATTTTGCATATTTACATGCAATATTTCTCACACTACAAAGCCAGTTTTCTGAAAGCTTTGAAAAACATATTAAAATATCAGATTGTGTCTCTTTCATTTATCCTTTGTGATCAAATAAATCTGGAACAAAGAAAAGCATGTTCTCATCATTGAATTAAAATTTCACATGTAGAAGTGTGTGGTCATGTTGTCTCAAAAATTAACCACTACTAGATAATTATGCTAACTAATATATACTGGAGTTGATAAGACTAATGAAGGCTTTGCCACAATTCAAAAGCTTTCCTATCACGGTTTCTTTCATTGAAATTTTAGAAAGGTGGGAAGAGGGGAAGGTTGCAATTTTTACATTAATTATTTTAAATTGGAAACATCAGGGTCTTATCTAATTCTGAGGCTCATAGTCTTCATCATATTTCAGTATCTGGTAAGCATGATGTCTGGTGAAAATTGAAAGGACTCAAAACCTAGTGTGCCAGAATGCTATGGTATATATATGTACCTGTGGAGACTTAGAGTGCTAAGTTATTTCTGTCTTTGCCACTTGCTGATCATGAAAGTTGGGCAAGGTCTGTAATCTCTGTTACTTGAAGCTCCTTCATCTGAAAAGGATGGAGAATAATACCCATCACAAAGTGATTTCTGTGAAATACATAATACAGTGCTGGAGACAAAGCAGATGCTCAATTATTATTTATTGTTAGTATTAGTTATCATTATAATATTACCAGTTGTACTTTTTAACTGTACCTTTAGAAAAAAATACATTGAAATTTAGATTATGATTGTACAAAGTATACTGTAACATATGCTGTTAATGCGTAATTATGTGTCACTCAATAAGAAAGGTCCAGAGTTGGAGAAAAGTAACTAATTTTTTTTCTTTTAAGATCACAGAGGAGAAGTTTGTCTTTCTGCCTACACAAATGTTTTCAATTCATCATTATTCAAACTTTTAAAGGGTTAGGAAGGATGGGACAATATAACTCTCCTTTAGGTCCATTAGATTGACACACTCTGCCTTTGATTTACTTTCCCAAATAATCTGTCTGGAGGCTACACAGCAGTGCTCAAAATGATTCTTTCTCCAGTTTAGAGTCCAAACTACTTCCACTGATTGCTGATATCATCTTTTTAGGAATTGGGTGCTACCTCACCATCAGGATGCTTGGCACCTCTTCTCCCTTGGGTAACCTTAGAAAAATATCCTACTGCCATGATTTTTTTGACTAAAAACAAAGCTGTCATTTTTCCAAGGACACATTTATAGCAAAGGAAGGATTGGGCACAGTGGAGGAACTTTAGATCCAACAGGTCCACGGTCAGATCCTTGTTCTACAACATAAAAGCTCTGTGACCACTTCAGAGTCTCAGTTTTCCATGTTCTAATATAATTATTTTGCAGGGTTGTCAAAAGAAGTAACTAGAATCACAAAACCAATGTACTTGGTATAAGATGGTTTCTCTCCCTTTCCTTATACATCCAAGTCTCCCAAAATATCTTAGTTTCTTTTAGAAAATGTATGAAATCCCTTTAAGTCAAATTATATGCATACATGCATGTACAAGTGTGGAAAGCTAAACGATCTTAAAGTTATAATCTTTTTATACTAACCCTCACAAAATCCTAGAGTAGGAACTCTCTGTGGAGGAGTCCTTCTATCCCTCATCAAATGTGTCCTAGAGTTAAGGATTTATATTTCCCCTAATTAAGAAACACAATCTAATGCTGAATAATATTCCATTGGGTATATATATATATATACCAACGTTTCCCTATCCATTCATATACTGAAGGGCATCTAGGCTGGTTCCATAATTTAGCTATTGTGAATTGTGCTGCTACAAATATTCATATAGCTGTGTCCCTGTAGTTTGCTGTTTTTAAGTCCTTTGGATATAAACCAAGGAGTGGGATAGCTGGGTCAAATGGTGGTTCCATTCCCAGTTTTCCAAGGAATCTCCATAGAGCTCTCCAGAGTGATTGCACCAATTTGCAGTTCCACCAGCAATGTATGAGCATGCCTTTTCCCCCACATCCTTGCCAACATTTATTGGTGCTTGTAGTCTTGATGATTGCCATTCTGACAGGATTGAGATGAAATCAGAGTAGTTTTGATTTGCATTTCTCTAGTTGCTAGAGATGATGAACATTTTTTCAGTTTGTTGATTGATTGTACATCCTCTTCTGAGAAGTGTCTGTTCAGTTCCTTGGCCCATTTATTGATTGGGTTATTTGGGGGTTTTTTTGGTGTTAAGGTTTTTGAGTGCTTTATATATACTAGAGATTAGTGCTCTATCTGATATGCTTGTGATAAGGATTTGCTTCCATTCTGTAGGCTCTCTTCTCTATTCACCTCACTGATTGTTTCTTTTGCTGAGAAGAAGCTTTTTAGTATGAATGCATCCCATTTATTGATTCTTATGCTACAGGAGTTTTATTAAGAAAGTTGGGGCCTAATCTGACATGATGGAGATTTGGGCGTACTTTCAGCATTAAAAGGGAACAAAATCATGACATTTGAAGGTAAATGGATGAAGTTGGAGAATATAATGCTAAGCGAACCAAAGGCCGAATGTTTTCTTTGATATGAGGATGCAGAGGCGCAATGGCGAATGGGGGGCGGGGGGAGCACTAGAGGAATGGAGGAACTTTAGATAGGCCAAAGGGGAGGAAGGGGAAAGGAGAGGGCAAGGGGGTAGGGATGATGGTGGAATGAGTTAGATGTCATTATCCTAAATACATGTATAAGACATGAATGGTGTGAAAATACTTTGTGTACAACCAGTGTCTTGAAAAATTGTGCTCTATATGTGTAATATGAAATGAATTGCAGTCTGCCATCATGTATAACAAATCAGAATAATAAAAAAATAAACACAATTTAAAATCCTTCCTCGAATGTTGGATCATAACTTAGCAATACACACATACACACAAAGAATGAGTTCTCCCAGTCCCTCAGCTGAAGTAGGATTCTTCAAAGTGTTACAGCTCCTAAGTGTGGTGAGCCGCTTATGCCATTTCTGCAGATTATGGTCGCCATTACAAGATGACGCTGGCTCCGCTGTGGTCTGTGACAAACAACTTCTTATCTGGGAGAGTTGGCACATGATTTTTCACCACCCTGTGAGAAAGTTCCACGCGGCAGCTTTGCATTGGGGCTTGGGATGCTTTATTAAGGCTGGGAGGGGCATCCGAGAGAAAGAAGAAGAAATATCCAGGGACCTGAATAAAACTGTTGAGAGAAGATTCTCGAGTTGCGTCTTCCTTGCGGGCAAGGGGTCGCGACAAGTGGTGCCGAGACCCGGGAACCAGAACTTTCAGCAGTCAGGGGTGGTGCACCGGTTAGTCCCAGGTAAGTGGGATCCGCGATCAAAGCGGGGTTAGTCCCAATAAGTGGGATCCGCGATCAAAGCGGGGTTAGTCCCAGGTAAGTGGGATCCGCGATCAAAGCGGGACAGCTCCTCTGTAATGAAAGAGAGAGCCTTACATTTTATTGCAGCTGCACTGTGTACTTTCGCTTTTGTTTTCTGTGTTTCTTTTGTTGTGTCATTTCGTTTTGTTTTTTGTGCTTCTTTTGTTGTTGTGACGACGGGGACGCTCCCCTGTAAAAGGAAGAGAGCGGGGAATTCATAGAACGGAACGCTCCCCTGTAAAAGGAAGAGAGCGGGGACTTTTGTACTTTCACTTTCTTTATAGCTCTAAAAACATTATGGGCGTTGCTTCTTCAAGCCCAATTTTGTTGGCCCTAGATGGGTTGTTACATTCAAAAGGACTTAAGATAAAGCAGAGTACTTTGCAGATGTTTTTAAGAGAAGCTGATATAGCGGCTCCTTGGTTTGCTTTTTCAGGGAGTCTTACGGTTCCCAGCTGGGACAAATTAGGGAAAGATCTAGATTTCGCTCATGAGCAAGGTACCTTGCAGGGTGGCATTATACCACTTTGGAAGTTAGTTAGAGGATGTATAACAGATGGTAAATGCCAGGAAGCTGTGAGTGAGGGTCAAGCTATTCTTGAGCAGCTGCATGAGGAAAAATCTGAAGGATCATGTAGTGAAGTGGCAGAGAGTATTAAAAGTAACACTAGTGAGAAGGCAAAAGAGCCTGAAGATAAAAATAGGAGAAGGCTCTACCCAGACTTGACCGAATTAAAAACGCCTGAGAACACAAGCGACTCAGAGAGTTCTGAGGACCTTGATATATTGTTACAACAACTACATAAGATAAAAATGAAAAAGAAGAAAAAGGAGACACAGGGCACGCAGGCCTACTGTAAGAAGGGGAAGGGAGTTAACATTGGTCAACAAAACTCTGAGGAGGAGGAGGTAGAATATCTAGAAGAAGATATGGTGCCGATTGCCCCACCTCCGTATGTGGGGGGGAGCCAAGGTTCCGGGAGATCTTTTCATGCACAAGTTTGGAGGACAGTTAATACAGATATGGGACTTGCATACCCTGTATTTCAGGACAATAACAGGGGAAGATATCATGAGCCTTTAGACTTTAAGATAATTAAAACCTTGGCAGAATCTGTCCGCACTTATGGCATAGATGCCGCTTTCACTCTCACTCAGGTGGAGGGACTTACTAGATTTTGCATGACTCCCTCAGATTGGGCTAGTCTAGTCCGCGCTTGTGTTTCCCCAGGGAAATATTAGGAGTCCAAAGTTGGCTGTTTAATGTTTCTGGCAGTACCCAAGACTTGGAGCGAGGTAGGAGACTTAAAATTTCTGCAAATAATTCACAATTATCTAATGCTACATTACCCTCCGCAGCAGTCTGTCTCCAATCTCCGTTCCTGTTTCTTTTGGCTAATGTTACATTACAGGGGATGCTTAATTGTTCTAATATTACCTGTTATTTGTCTGAGTGTTGGAATGGCTCCTGGACTACGGCAATGGTTATGAAATTTCCAACCTTTGTCCCGATCCCGGTTACTGCAGATCCAGAGTCATTTCCTATTGTTGAACTGATTAGAGCCCGTAGAGATTTTGGAATTACGGCAGCCATAGTGACAGCTGTGGCGGTATCTGCTGCTGCAGCAGTTACAGCTGGAGTAGCCATGGCCAGCCAGGTACAAACTGCTGCCACTATTAATCAGGTTATTCAACAAACATCCACCATACTTGAATCTCAAAGTAGAATTAATCAACACATTTTATCTGGGATTCTGGCTGCTAATTAAAGGATAGATCTGCTTCAAGCTCAAGTTGAGGAATTGTCTGACCTAGTACATTTGGGTTGTGTTGACCAACGTGCACATTTATGCATAACCTCTGTCAGATTTAATGATTCCAGAAATGCCTCCCGCATCATCGGAGAATATTTATCCGGAACCTGGTCCATGGAAGCAGAAAACTTGATCCAGTCTCAACTAACTCAGATTGCTGTTTTGAATAGCACCCGTGTCGAACCAGTGACTTTGGGTCAATTCACCAGTTGGCTATCCTCTGCCTTTTCCTTTTTTAAGGAATGGGTGGGAGTGGGCATTTTTGGTGCAATGTGTTGCTTCAGTGTTGTACTCTGTTTGTGGCTTCTCTGTCGCCTTAAAACTCGCCATGCACAAGAAAAGGCTATGATCATACAAGCTCTTGCAGCT